CCCCAAAACCCCAAAACCCCAAAACCCCAAAACCCCGTGTAAAGGAGGGGATGTTGAATCTTGAGTTTAGGATTTAGAGGGGGGTGAAGAGGAGGTTTTTAGGTAAAGAAGGATGGATAGTAGGAGAATTGAGGGGGATTTGGAAAGGAAGGGATTGTTTATTGGGAGAATTGGGGTAGTGCTGCTTTTGATGAAGTTTTATAGCGTTGGTTACTTGATTATGATAGTTTTCTTGAAATCGATTTAATTTATAGCTCTAACGATAAAAATGGTCGGTCTAGGTCTACAACCTGCTAGTTTGGCAGTTTTGCAGCTTATTTTTGACTAGATTATTGCTTAAAAGTATTCAATTTTTAAAGCTCAGAGACTCTCTATTCTTCAGCTTTAATGGATTGATGATTTCTTAGAACTGAATCATTTTTAACAAAGAAAATATCTTAAATTTTTAGAAGGTTTTTCAATTACTCTATCCCAAAACACTGATTAAAAGATTTGGAAAGAATGAGTAGAACCAATTGTATTGAAGCCCGTTCTGATAATTTCAGAGCGATAATGATTATATTTCATCGACACTGCATCTTCCTAGGGTCAACTCTTTGTTCGATTTGGCTTAATTTTAACCAACTTTGAGATTTAAAATATTTTTCAAGATTCTAAATCCCTTGAGCTTGATCCATATTTTAGCAAGCAATCAATTATATAACTTTTAGCCATAAATCCTCTTATAAAATTCTTGATCATCAATCGCTCTTGGTTGGGACGTTTATATATATCCAGTATAAGAATCTTTACTAAAAGCTAGTTTTAGCTCACTATTCTTGTTCAAGTAACCTGATAATTATTCTTCTCAAAAATTTTTATTGAATATTCTTGCTCTTCCAGAGATTTTTGCACTATAATTGATAATAAGTCACCATATACTTGGAAGAAACAGATGGAACATTTCATGAAGACTTTTTTTATAGAAGTTAATAGTTTTTACGTACAAAATTTCTTTTTTACTATCTCTAAGGCTTGCAAGAAGGTTTGAATGCTGAACAGAAGATTTCTGGACACCTCTGGCTCTTTTAGAAAGTCTTCTTGTGCGAAAAGGGGTAAAATTTACAAGTCTTATTTCTGAATGGGCTTCACCTTCTATTCATTTCCAAATCCTCTAAAGTTATGGATTTAGAAACTGATGGCACTCTAAATATGTTCTAAGTCGTTTATTTACTACTAGACATTCAGATAGAGAAGTCTCCATGCAATAGCATTGACAGTTTCTTAAAACATTGAATATGAACTTACCGCTCATAATCCAGTTGATGTTATAATAAACTTTATAAATCTCTAATGGTGAACTCTCGAGATGTCTTAGCAACCCAGTTATGATTGCTCACACACCGATGGTACACATTTAGAACAAACCAAATTGGCTTGAATACTCTTAAAAGCAAATCCCTTTGGTGTGGCTCGAAGTACTCATCTAGGAGGCAATTTTTAAGCAATATTAGTAACGAGAGTATGAAGACATCCTTAGAGCCTAGACTTAGACAACGACCATGTTTGTAACCAATATTCTGAGCCCAGGTTTGTTAGTGCTTATTTATTTCCCCATTTTCCCAAGACTAAGCTTCAGTTAGCATGCTCAGCATCAGTTTCTAAGTTTCATCTCATAATCAGTTTCTAAGAGATATGAACAAGTTTCACGTATTCACGGAATGAGAAACCACTCTGGCTAACTTTAGAGATTTGCAAAAAAGAATCGAGCCTGAGTAATTTGGGTACTTTAGCTATCTTGGAACCCCCAATGCTTGGAGTAATGGATATAGTGCTGAGAAGACAAGGTCATTATACAGTATAAAAGCATTCATCGAATTTGCCAAGAAAAAATCTTGAGTTTTCCAAAACTCAAGCCAATTCAGAATAAGATGATTTATTCTCAGAGGATATAACCCTTAAAGTTTACAGCAGTGATATCAGTTCAGTAAGGTAGCCTACACGCCCAGGTCATTACTCTTCTCAGTCATTGGATTGATTCTTCTCATTGAAGATATAAGCTTATTTTGCTCCATTTATAATAGAGCAATTGGATATATGAAGGACACCAATCTATACCTAAAGCAAGGGCCAGCTCATCTATCTGAACGTCTGAAATGGCATGGAAATAACCTAGCTGGGTTATATTCTCAGCAGCAGGATTGGGAGGTGAAAGCAACTCGGCCACCTAAGCTTGCTTATTGGATAAGAATCGGTAGAGTCGTATCTGATCGTGATTAAATTCGGAAATTATGAAGAAAATGATACATCCCTGCTACGAAATTTCCGGAACATTATCCTGTAAAATTTCCAGTAACCCTCAAGATGCTGACTTTGGTTAGTGGAATTTGAGGGATTTTTGGAAAGATTAGGGAGCAGCCTCAACCTATGATTCCCCTGCCGAATATTTAACCGAGCTAACCCTATAGTAAATTCGAAGGTTACGCTTTTAACACAGCATGAAATATGCTGTTATGTGAGCGAACTTACAATAGGACCGATTCCAAAAATGTTGGCCAGCAAACCTCTGAGTTTTTAGAGATGCTTCTGAGGGTGAATAAAAAATTATACAATTAATAAAATTAGCTAACAAAAGCTCCTCAAAATTCTAAAAATAGGAAGATCTGGAATAAAATTGTCGGATATGGGTCTGGAAACTTATTTAAAAAAATAAAATTTTGACTTCATAATATTAAAAATGAATACTTTAAATTTTTACAGCAATACAAATTATGCTTCTGCACCAATGTGGGGGTGCTCAGACATCATCCAAGAGCTTAGTTCAGTGTACTGAATGAGCCAAACGAATGAGAATATGCAGAGTCTTCAAGATCACTGACTATGCTCATCACAAAGTGATTCATCGAAGTCCCTTCCTCTATACAATAATGCTGAAGAATACCTGTCAATGTTTGATATGAAGAATCTCTATGCTAGTTCTCAAGCAAGCTTGTCTGAAAAAGAAACAAGACTTGAACAAAATGAAGAAATTGATATATCTAAAGCTGTTTCAAGCAAGAAAAAGAAGAATAAGAGTGAGCAGCTCGATATCAAGCCAAAGCTCCTCAACTTGAGATTCCGTATCCTCAATAATCACATTACTGAGTTCAGCTGTACTACAAAGAAAGCAAGAAGTTCAACTAAAGAAGATCTCAGAAGGAGGTCTAAATATATTGGAGTATCCAAGAACAACTCTAACTGGCAGGCTCTCATCAACGTTAATCATTCTAAGAAGTACATTGGGACATTTGCTAATGAAGTCCAGGCAGCCAGAGCCTTCGACTTATATTCAGTTGCCATGAGAGGAGACAAAGCCTCTTTAAACTTCTCTTACACTCCTGAAGAAATGCTTGAAAGAATCGAATATTTCCTCGAACACTGCTGTGTAAAATTTGATTCCTAATGTAATTTTATTCTAAATGTTAATGAAGCTCATCTCAATTGGTTGCCAACGTCTAGGGGTTTTGGGGTTTTGGGGTTTTGGGGTTTTGGGG